GCCATACCAAATAAGATTGATAGAGATTTTTCCATTAAGGAGAGGACCATTATGGTATTGGAAAAGCACAATATCTTGTTCCTTACCATTCAGTACCCTCCCTGCTGAAGCTACACTTAGAAAGGCCAGTGCCAACAATACTTGCATTAGCACTCTGGTTTGGATGTTTGTATAGGCCATAAGTAATTTCTGCAATTCAAACTCTGCTAGACCAATATGGAAACCTTATAGGAGTTGAAAGAGATAAAATTTGTGTAATTTGCTTTCTGAGGTAGAAGTTGATATGAATTGGGATGTGGCCATTAGGCCCTTATATAGTTGATTGATTTGAGTTTCTAGAGCTTTCAACCTTAGTGAAGTGCCAGCATTAGAACGCGTTGTTAGTTTAATGACACACTTGTTAAGCCTGGTTGTATCTTTGCTATAGTTGACTGCTACACGGGAAAACAACATGAATTTGCCTTTTGCCAGTGCACATTTGAGGAGGGCCAGGGGTCTTGAAGGCTATAATTGTTATGCTATCAGCTTCATCCTTTATCCTTTCCTCTTGAATTTGAGTAAGAGAAACAGCCGACTTGTGGAATCCAAGGGGACCGCATGCACCTGGGTTCATCCGGGCAGTTTCTTTCTGGCTGCTTAGTGATTTGAATTTGTTTTCTTGTTTTTAATTTTGTGCATGTTCCCTTACTGTCCACTTTTGACTTGATTAAGACATTTATATACATGAATAATTTTGGAGGCAATTTAGAATTGTCAAATAGTATTAAAATGTAATCAATGGCTTTAATTAAGTTGGGTTGGTTGATACAAGTATGTCGCTCATTTCTCCGGTCAATCAATTTTTAATAAGAAGTGAAAGTACCAATTCTAAGTTTTGTTTTGTCTTCAGAAATTTGTCTATTCCGGCGGTCTGGCCATGCAAGGGTGCAAAGAGAGATTATGGTAGTAAGCTATTATAAAATAAGAGCAAAAACAAAAAAAACAACCTAAACTTTACATACAAAACAGAAGCTGATAAAGTTAAAAGATTGGTCATAATGGAAAACAAAAAGGGAAAATGACAGGTCTCAGTTGATTCTTGATTCAAAATAACTAACGCAAGTTTTTTGTTTCTTTTCCTCTTTTGTTCAGACAAACTTTTGGTCTAAAATTAACTTGAATTTATTTGAACCAGTTTTGGGACTTGATGATAACTAGCTCTAAGAGCAGAAAGGGAGACTTCCTTTTATTCATTAAAAAAAAAAAAAAAGAAGACAGAGAGAAACTTGATGATAAATAATTAAGGCTGACAATATTGCTAGAGCGAAAATTTTCTAAGTATTAGAACTTTTTCTGGACAATTATCAGTTTAAAAGTCTGTCATTTCATAGTTAGATTTAACCACATAAAATATGAGTAAATTTTAGAGCAAATTATCTAGTTGGCCACTAAACTTTTGCAATCAACGAGTTTTGGTCATTCAACTATTAAAAGTCTGGTTTTGGCCACTAAAATGCATAAAGTTAAAACTCAGGGACATTCTGTTAGATTTAGCCGTTGAGTTCACCAATCTGTCTGTCCGCACGATTTTCAACACAAAATGCAGGGTCAATTTAGGAAGTTAAAAATAGCATCTTCTTCCTTAGGGCAAGTTCCTCAAGTTCCTTCCTCAAGCCCAGAAGCATTGGTGATTGAAGTGGGAAAGATTCCAGAGAAATTGTTTTCCGTAACAGCTAATAGTTTCAGATTTGGTAGGGTGAGACCCATATCAATTGGGAGATTGCCATGGAAGTCATGGTATGGAACTCCAAGTAGTCCTTGCTGCAACAGAGTCAAAGCTGCCGGAATGCTGACTCTCCTGGTCAATAGGGCTATTCAAACCAATCCACCCTAAGCTGTTACAGAAGGAGCTGTAGATCTGATCCTAGAAGCTTGATAGGTTGCAATTTTATCATTTATTTTATTATTAATTTCCTCTATTACCTAACCTAATGTGGATTAATTGCTAGATTCTACTCACTTTTGATATTTTGCATTTATTTCAGGAAGTAGAACGAAAATATGATAACAAGTGTCAATTTAACAAGAACAGAGCCCAAATAACAGAGCTTATCCCAGAGGCATTATTGGCAAAGAAAGACTTTTGCCCATTTTGGTAATTCAAAAGAAAAGAGCAGGAAATAGGGCTTCCTTTTCCTGGTGTGAGCCGCTGCGCAGAGCTTCTCAAAAGAGGCCTTAGATAGGAATTAGATTAGGCATAAAACGGAGGGAGGGATAGATAGCAGAGGATGGAGACTTTCTTGGGGAGTTCTTCTTCCTTTTTGACTTTTCCTCTTTTCGTCTTATTGTGCCTTTGTTTCCATCGGATGTGGAGGCAAAGGAAAGTAATTGGGTATTCTTTGTAGCCTTTGACTTTTTCTTTCATCTTCAGTTGTGTTTCTTTTCTTTTCGGTAGGAATAGACAAGGGATGAATTAAATCTCTTTGTCTAGTCAAGGGACAACGGATGCTTTGGATCGCCTAAAATTGTGAGATCGATTTAATTTTATCTTTTGCTTTTATTTATTGGTATTCGCATATTCCCTGGTTACAGTGCTTATGATTGTTTAATTAATTGATTGTTTTGGATCCGGATAATTAGTTAATTTGATAATCTATTGTCAATTGGGACGTTAAATTCGTAATTGTTTAATTGTCCTGAAATAGTGACAACTGGCACGATTAGATTCGTGTTAGGGGGATACGCAGGCTAATCTGAAATAACCCTGGTAGTGTGTTATTTGATTAGAATAGGGCTCCTCTAATACGTAAGATAATTGAGGGATTAAATCTTATGGGCGTACCTAGGATTATTTCTCAATTAGAGCAGTGATTAACGGGCGTACCTTAATCACTGACACAGTAAGGAGGGGTTGACTGTCATCGCTTGTTTGGCAGTTATAACCTATTTATTGGTAAATAATTGGAATTGCCTTTGTTTCGATGATCAATTAGGTGAACCATTGCTGAAGTTATTTCTTGGCTAGATCCTTAACTATCACCCATTTTATTTTAGTAATTTGTTATTTAATTTTTAGTAACTTCCTAGATTTTATTTGAATCTCTTTAATTGTCACTCCTAATATAAAAAACCCCCTTGTCATTGTGAATTTGAAAAGGAACAATTACTCCCAGTCCCTGTGGATTCGACCCTGCTTACCGCTATCTACAGAAATCACTTTTAGTTTGAGCATGTTTTTATTATTGCATAGGCTGACAACCTGTCAAAGCTCCACCAGTTGCCGGTACTATTTCATCACCTGTGGGATGCTTAGATGGATCTTGGGCTAGCACGGGCTGTAGGCACTCTTTGGGCAGAGCTCTCTCGATCCACTAACTGGCTTGGGAAGATAGCAAGAAGTCTGAGCCTTCACATCCATTTCGAGAGAAGCCTCAGTGGATTGAATCCCCGTTCATTCGAGAAATAATTGAACCAATCTTTTCAAAAGCCCCATCTCCAGAGGCAAATTCCCTCCAGATTGTTGAAGTCAAGGCCAAGTCCGATCAATGATGATGATAAGATCCCAATGGGAGAGGGAATATCTCCTGTCAGATTGCTTTTGGTAAAATATAACCGTTTAAGCTTCTTCAAATTGCTTAGCTGATCGATTGGAGTCTTCCCTTCTAGCTTGTTACTGGTTAGGTCAATAGCTATCATCTCTGCGCAGTGGCTCAGATTTTCTGGGATTTTTCCACTGAGTGCATTACTCGACAAGTTCAAGACTCTTAACCTGAGGAGGCGAACGAATTCTTGGGGAATCCTACCATGGAATTGATTCTCCCCAAGTTGGATGAACCTCATGAAGCTTAGATTTCTGACCTAAGGAGATATAGTTCCAGACAACTGCTTACTCCTCAAAGTCAAGGCAATGACCCTTTGGTGTCGAGTACCACAAGTGACTCCTTCCCACTGGCAATGGTGCTGTGAGTGGTTCCATGAATCACCAAGAACCGTTTTTGTTCATTTCTCAAATGTTTGATGTCTGGGTTTACGCAAAAACAAAAGGAGGACAAAGAACAGATGCATAGGAAAGGAAGAAGAGATGCAAGTGCTATTTTTAACTTCCTAAATTGACCCTGAATTTTGTTTTGGAAATCATGTAAACAGACAGATCGACAAATTTAACGGCTAAATCTAACAGAATAGCCACGAGTTTTAACTTTATACATTTTAGTGGCCAAAACCATACTTTTAATAGTTGAGTGACCAAAACTCGACGATTGCAAAAGTTTAATGGCCAGCCAGATAATTTGTTCTAAATTTTATATACACTAATAGTATATATACTATCACCATTGAATCCATAACATATGTGTAAAAGTTGAATTTTAAATTCAAATTTTGCATAGTTGTCATTCATTCAATATTGACAGTGTATACTGTTAATGTAGAAAAAATTAATCCGTAAAATACACATAAATTTCCCCAGCTTCCATTCGGTTGAGTTGATTTTCATTTATTTCTTTTGCTTTTCTTCTTTCACTTTTCTTTTTTTTTCCAATCATCCTTGAGTTGTTCTTTTTGTTGCTAATTAAGTACCAAAAAAGTTTGGAACATTACAGCATAGGGAAGGCCATCTGCATATTTAAAAAGAAAAGAAAAAGAAACGGACGATCTCATTTCCTTCATTTTCTTAATTTGATCCCCCCCTTAAATTGTCTTTGTAATACAAGGTCCTTTCAGGCACTTGATCTACAGCAACATCAAATATGGAAACCGTGTAAAAAGTATTTCAATCTCATTTAATCATGTATTACTCCAAAAATTAAATGTAACGCCGAATGAGCTTGGCAATTTCAAGCCATCAGACCATATTTTGACCAGTATTCCGCAATAGTTATTTGCATTCCTAGCCAAGTCATGTCGAAGTTATCTAGGAACTTGGCTGACCAAGATCAATTTATTCTTTCTGTATCATTTTTTTGGTTGATTTTGAAAGCCAGGATCATGCACCAAAATTGACAAAAGAAGCTGAAAAAATCTGTGGTAGAGTAGTTTCGCTTGTATAATATTTTGATATTAAAGAATGAATGAATCAATTCTACAGCACCTATATATCAGTGTCTCTATCGTTCAGTACAATAACTTTGTTTTTTTGTTTTTTTTTTTCCCCTCACACCAAAGTGGAACAAGTAGAAGTTGAAGGATCATACAGCGCAGGAAGCAAATACTTTCTCCCATTGCTGCCATGTGCATTATAGCTAGCACCAGTTGTAGCATCAACCAGCAAATCTCCTGCATAGCCCGGGTAAGCTCCTTTGCCATATATTCCAGGACAAGCAGCAGCGGCCTCGAGCGGTGCAACAGCTGGTCCCTGAAAATACCCATTTCCAAAAGGATTGGTAACTACCCCAGCCAAAAGACTAGCCAAATTGATAATCATCCCATCAACACCCACGTCATTGTTTGGTGCAATCAATGGTGGGCTCTGTGGTCCATAAACAGGCTGGTGGAATGGCCAGGCACATTGACCTGGGCACTGAGTCTCAGAATTTCCAACCCAAATGTAAGCAAATCTTGGGTACTTGCCCTTGATTGCGGCCCTCGAACGGAGAGAGCTATGGGTGCCACATTTGCTAGAGCAAAACCCATCGACCACGACATCGGATGAAGTCAAGACTACGTTGATGGCATTCATTTGATCGCCATTTGCTGCCAATTGTTCAATCTGTTGCATCTTCAGGGATTTGCCCAGAGAGTAATTTTCATCCAAATTTTGGTTGCCCAGAAAGAGATGGAGTGAGGAGGATTTCTTGGATTTGATTTTGGTGTAATACTTCTCGATGTTTTTCCACCACGTGGCAACTGATGGTTGGACTTGGGAGGACAGGGAAGGGGAGGACAGTGAGGTGATGAAATCAGTTACGATGGCCTTTTGGGAGGGATTGAATCTTCCATACCAAATAAGGTTGATTGAGATCTTTCCTGTGAGAAGAGGGCCATTGTGGTATTTGAAGACCATAGGATCTTGTTCTTGGCCTTGGCCTGTCTTACTAAGCAGCCTCCCCGCAGAAGCAAAATTGAGCAATAATGAAAGAAGTAAGATACAGATGGAGATCTTGATTGGGGTAGCATACCCTGTATAGGCCATTGGTTTAGATTTTGGTAATAATACTAACTGGAAGAAATCCCTAGTATGAAAATCGTAAGGTGAAATTCTAGAGAAGAATTGAAGCGGGGGTTAATTTATATGCTAGTATATGATCAGATAGCTTTGGATTTGAGCGAGGACATCAGCATTGGGAATGTCTTTTTATACTTGGCCGAGTGAGAACGAGACAAGAAGGTTCCTGGCTAAGAAGATGAAGAATTCATGGGCAATATGCCAGCTTGATAACGCGACGTTAAATTAGTGGATGGGTGTGGTGCTTTCATTATTTGGGTGCTTCTTAACTGGCCTGGTCCCCAAAGTGGACATTGACCTTTTGTATGGAATTTATGGCAATTGAGGTGGCTTCCAGTCTGTGCAGAATTGAGTAGTAACGCTGGATGGGCAGCCTAAAGTCAAGAAAGTTCCAAATATCCAGCTTTGTTTAGTTTGAGTACGTCAAGTCTTTGCCCACTGCAAATGGAACTTCTCAAAGTCTTTGCCATTCTCTCTTTTGGAGACCTTATTACATTTTGTGAATGAATTTGAAGTTTTAACAGTTATTGCTTAGTCTAAGTGGCATGGATCACAATTGGATCAAGACTGTATTCTGTACACAAGCTAGACACATAGTACATTGTAATGTTCTTTTCTGTTGTCCAACTTGTCATTATTTTTCTATTCCTGAGTAAACCATCTGTGTTTACTTTTCCTCTCAAGCAGGTGTTAAACTTTACAAAGTCGTCATATTTTACCAAACTGAAAAAAAAAATGCACTTTTAGTTCTCAAGATTTAAAAGTTAAAATAAATTACTATTTCTAGTTCTCAACCTTAAAAAAAAAGGGTACCTACCTACCTAAAATATTCAATTTCGACTAAATTAATTTTTAATGTCGCGATTGAAACAAACGTAGTCCTAAATTATATTATTGAGACCAAACTAGTTGCTAATGCTTTGTAAAATGTAGGAAAATTTATTAGTATAATATAAAAATACACGAAAATTTTGTAAAACTATACAAAGAAATCACAAAGAGGAGAGACTCTTCCCTTACCATGACCAACCACCGTTCAATCGGGTCTGGATCACCATCAGGTTTTTATGCCTACGTTAGCAGGACCTGTTCAATGCATTAATTCCAATGGTCTTATTCTTTACATCAACTCTTCCAATTTTCGTGTCCTTAATCCAGTTACGCGGCAGTGCATCTCATTCCCGAAAGCCTGCCTTGGTCCATTAATTGGTGGTGAATTGGGACCTCCTGGATTTCCTTCCAGCGAATTCGACATCGATTTCATGGTGGTCCTGCCATATTGTGTTGAACCTGGAAAATCCAATTGGAAATCCCAGATGGTTAAGACTTACACTTCAAAACAAGGATTCTGGAAAGAATTCAATCTTGATATGCTCTTGATATAATCTTGTTCCTGGCTTAGTTCTGATCCTAGCTTAATGAGGAGTTGCTTGATTGCCAATAATCCAGACAGGGATCAGTCTCACATCCAGTTGATTTGGTTACCTTCATTTGGGAGAACAAATCATTTTCCCAGTTTGTCTCAATTGAGTATGGGAATTCTGCAATGTGCTGTGGATGATGATAGAATTCCAGGTTTTGGTGTATGCGCACTTGGTAGAAAGCTGGAAAGCTGGGGGGACGTGATGAAGTGATTTTCGCTAAAAAAAAAAAAAAAAGAAAAAAGAACCGAGCCTAATCTAATGTATAGGATTCAGCTTGACCTGCAGGATGCAATATGGGCTATTCCTGTCTAGCATTATCTCCATGATCCACAACCTGATAAGTACGTGGTTCGAATGGGGTTCCATCCCTTCAATCCACTAGTTTCGTATTTTAGAATGGGAGAGAAAATCTTCTGCTGTCATGCTGAAGAAAAGAAACACGAGGCTAATTGCCTACGAGGGTGAACGCTTTGTTTGTAGGGAGGACTTATTGCTACTGGCCTTTGCTTTACCACATTGGCTTCCTCCCCCTCTGCCAAATAAGATGGATTGGGGGGGTTGAAAGATGAACAGAATTATTTGGCATCTAGTTTGTTGTCAACGTACAGGAACCTGCTTCAGATTAGCTAGCTAGTCAAATACTCCGTAAATATCAGTGAAATCTCATATGCAAGGAGCTCAAACTTTAGAAGTTTTGGATCTTTTCAATCATTTTTTTTTTATTTCACATACATCACATTATAAAAAATGCTATAGTAATTATTTCAAATAATTTCCTATCCAAACAATAGCACTATTTACCAAAAGAAACTAATTGGAGAACTGATTCAATACTTTAGTAATTGCCTAGAAAATAGAGGATCTTGTTAGTGATTTTCTACATGTGGATGGCCTTTATATATTTATATACTCTAGAGGTATACAAAGTAGCATGGTTCCTAGAAGAAGAAAATTGACCTGAGGCACTTGATTTTGATGATGAGTAGTATGATTGGCAGCTAGGCAACGCGATGTTTAATTTATAGTGGCGTTGTTTGCAGGTTTCTTGCGATGCTCCTCAATTGGCCTAGTCCCCAAGTGGGCATTCAGCTTTTGTACAGAATTTTTGGCAACTAAGGTGCTTTCCAGCCAGTTCAGAATTGAGTGTAATGCTGGATGCCAGCATTTGGTCCAAAATGTCCCAAATGCAAATATCCAGCTTTTGTTTATTTTGAGTATGTTACCCTTTTTTTTTTTTTTTTAAGTTGTCCAACACTCCAACTAGAGACTTCAAATCTTATACGCCCTCCCCCTCCATTTTAAAATTTTAGTATTACTTTCTACTTTTAAATATTCTAAAATATTTGATCTGTTTAAAATAATGTCCCAATTTTTAATTAAATACACATTATATTCAAATTTAAAATTTTAATTTTGAAAGGTAAGATTGAAAAAAAAAAGTCGATATATCACAATTAAAATATTATTGATAAAAAATTAAAATTTCAAAATATGACTAAAATTTGGGGACGAAGGAAGTAAGAAGGAAGGAAGAAAGGGGAAAAGTTTTGAGAGTCAAAACTAAGAAAATCATGGTCGCTTAACTAAAAGTAATTTAAAGTTTAGTCTCACTAATATGTTTATTTTCAAGGCTCATGCTTCAAAATCTGACTGCTTAGCTCTTTTATATATATATATATATATATATATATATATATTGGGTATAGGCTTATAAATAAAATGTAGACTGCTTATACATCGAATTAGCAAACCAAAGAAATTTGCTGTTCTGATTAGTGGATGTATCGAATAAATAAATGAATCAATGAATTACAATAATTTTACTGATTCTCCTAAGATGACAGCTTCATCTTGTACATCCTAAACTCTCAGACCAGAGTCGAGCATGAGGTAGTTGATGGATCATACAGTGCAGGTAGCACATATTTCCTGCCGTTGGTACCATGTGCATTGTAGCTTGCACCAGTCGTGCGATCCACCAACAAGTTCCCAGGATAGCCCGGATAAGCCCCCTTAGCATAAACCCCAGGACAGGCTGAGGCAGCCTCCAATGGTGCTTCAGCTGGACCCTGAAAGTATCCATTGCCAAAAGGATTTGTTGCAGTACCGGCCATGAGACTACCCAAATTGATCACCATTCCATCCATGCCCACATCATTATTCGGTGCAACCAATGGTGGATTTTGTGGCCCGTATGTGGGTTGATGGAACGGCCAAGCGCAGTATCCTGGGCACTGAGTTTCTGAATTCCCAACCCAGATGTATGCAAATTTGTAAGTTTTCCCCTGAATTGCAGCCCCCTTGGACGATCCGTGCGACCCGCAAGTATTCTGGCAAAACCCATCCACGATAACGTCAGCTGCAGTCAAAACAACGTTGATGGCATTTCTCTGTTCACCCTTGGATGCCAACTCCACGATTTGTTTCCTGGTGAGTGATTTCCCCAGGGAGTAATTCTCGTCCAAGATTTGTTTGCCTAAATAGAGGGATAGCGAAGAGGGCTTTTTGGAATTCGCGAGGTGGTAGTATTTTTCAGTGGTTTTCCACCAGGATGCCACGGACGGCTGGGTTTGAGGCGGGGCGGAGGATGAAGAAAGTGAGGTTATGAAATCAGCTATGATAGCCCTTTGGGATGGCTTGAATTTGCCATACCATATTAAGTTGACAGAAATCCTTCCACTGAGAAGTGCACCTTTGTGGTAATGCAGGAGCTGGAATTGATTGTCTTGGCCCAATGTTCTGCCAATGATTCTTGAACCAAAACATGAACTGAAGAGAGAAATCAGAACAAAGAGCTTTAGGATGCGGAGGGATGAAGCAAAAGAGGCCATTTTTCTAGCTTAATTTTTGTAGATGTCAGCACTTGCTTCTGCTAGGAAGGAAAGAATAATGAGAACTGAGAAGAGCTGTTTGGATGGATGGATGGATGGATGGATGAATTGTTGTGGACTTGAGAAGTGGGTATTTATAGTAAGGGAAAGGGGGTTCCATTTGGACCAGCATTAAAGAAATCCAAAAATTTCAAACATGCAATTATACGACATTGTGCATGGTCATGTTCAAACCTAGTTAGGTTTAATAAATATTTTGCGTGTTTGTGAGGAGAATCTGTAATAGTAGAAAAGGGCATTTGGTTCAGGAAAAAGGGTAAAGAAGAGAGAGGTCCAACGGCTACCTCAAACGCGTTCAGGACTTTCATTGCTTTTGATTTCCAATTTTAAGCTACAGTCTACAGAACAGAACAGAGGGGATTACAGCTTTGGTCCAGTCCTCCAGACTTACAAAAGTTGGACTACTAAATCAATTGTGGGGATGGGGGGTTTGTAAATTTACTATAAAGACCATAGGATAGGACAGGCGGGAAATGATGAATTGAATGGGACGGATCGTGAATGGTAGGAATTTTTTTGGAAAGGTAGGGGTGTTTTTGGAAAATGGAGCGGAGTTTACAGGCTGGATGGGGGAAATGGCCAGCGGAGTAGTGTTTTGGGGAAGCGTAAGAGGGACAGTACAGTTGGCGGGTCAGCGACGGTGGGAGGTGGCAGTATTGAGATGTGTGAGGCGGAAGGTATCCTAGGAGCGTGAAGGGGACGCTCCAGCTTGGATATTACTCATCGCCCAAATTACTCGTGAATTTAAGATTCACCAGCTGGATCAAGCTCTCACGTGACAACTGTCTTGCGCTTCTCTCCGCCGCGCCCGGGCAATCAATCTATTCTAAGGGCGTGTATAAACTATAAACCAATTCGGAGAGTAGGTATAAATAAAGCAAAGTGAAGGGGTATACAAAGTACTAAAATAAGTGTTTGAATATCAAAATTATTTCAAATAATATTTCGCTTGCATCACAAACACATTTTCTAACCTATCTTTTTATATTTCAAATCACCTTTTTATCTCACATACATCATATCACAAAAAGTGCTATAGTAATTATTCCAAATAATATTTCAAATAATACACTATCCAAACAAACCACTGTAATAGTAATAGAATATTCCTCAAGTGCCACGAGGCCTTTGGCCTGATGGTCACCACCAACTTGGTGGTGTAGAAGGTCAAAGGTTCAATCAAAACTCGGTGCCTTCCACTAAAATTTGTCATAATATGTGTGATGGTCTTAATTGATTTTTTTCGATGAAGTTTGTATTCATATCAAGTCCCCCTCCCCCTACCCCTC